TTCAAGGCTAAACCAAAATAAAGGATTAATAGATTCAAAATTTCAAAATATGTCTTTGATTTTCCTGCACGACCTTCAGGTTGGTTTTAAAAAAATGCATTGTATGGGCATAACCCAAGTCATATAATAGGGACTCCACAATATCTAATGACTGAGGAGAACTTCAAGCATGGTCAAGTCATATAATAGGGACTCCACAATATCTAATGACCGCTCCAGATAATTGCATCGTTTAAATGTCCTGATAAGAAGCCCAGTGCTTCTCCAACCCAACTAACCCAATATATCTTTCAATATAGAAGGTTGTTCAGTACGCCTAGGTCGTTAGAAGGCTCCCTGACATAGATGGGGTGTAAGTCCTTTTATTGAGAAATTTCCACCTTTTTAGCTAAAGCTTCCTTTCTCCTCTTTTTCAGCGGCATCCTTACCACTTCAATGGGTATAAGTTCGAACTCTTGGAGCTCCACCTGATAATCATTGGATAAAGTTCCCTTCCTCCGACCTTAGGGCTACCAAGATCTCTGAGGACGATGCAATTCACAGATTGCTGATTGGGGATCTTTGGACATATCAGGTCGACTACCTTCACGATTAGGTAGACTTAGGGTCCTATTGGTTTGGGATGACAGGTCCGTGTTACCTTGACCTAGCTACATTTACCTTCTAGGGATTACTCCTTCCTTCCTTTTACTAACCTTGTTGAGCATTGTTGCTCATTATGTCTTCTTTGGTATCATCTCGACGGTTTGATTGCCTATGAGCTGTCGCTCATTTGGGGTACAATGATTTATCCTCTGCCCTTATGATACAGATGTGTTTTGACATCGGGATTCCCCATCGAGATGCTTCAATTATTTCAAAAGCTCCATATGTTGTTGAGTCTGTTACCCACGTGGAAACGTGAGAGACTCACTCTCCACCCTGTTGCTTAGCGGGAGCTTTGAAAGCATCAGAGCATTTCTCTCTGAGTTAATCATCCTTTGATAGCTCTATGCTAGTCATCACTACTAATGTAAGGAAAACTTCCTTAGATCAAGAGTATTATTGGGCAAACCTCAATATGTAATTAACTGAGTGAGATACGTTCCCTTGGGAGCACTCTAAATCCACAACAGGCAAACACACCTGAATCTTTAGTTATGGATAGTCTACGTAAATATTCTTTCATGGATAATGGTCCAAGGTGCTTCTGCTTGATCTTATTTGGGCGGATATACTTGATCTATTTTTATGAGATTTATCGCATGTTTGCTCTCCACATCTTTGTATTATTTGTCGTTTTTATCCTATGTTCGTCTTTTCTTATTTTTCTCTTCTCGTGATCATTCACATGATCAATAAGAGTGACTTATTCAGAAAAGAGAACTACACGACAATAAACAAACTAACTCCTTTAAAAATAAAAAAGAGAAATGAACGAAAATATTTGCTAACTTATTCACTAGATCTGTCAGTCTTATAGGCAAGAAATGGGCAAGCATGGTCAGCCTGTCAATGATTACCCATATAACATCAAGATGCTGATGTAATCTAGGTAACCTAATCACACAATCCATCGTAATCTCCTATTATTTCCACTTCGGAATTGATAAATGTTGCAATTAACCTCTAGGACATTGATGTTTTGTCTTCACTAACTAATATGAATTATACTTAGCCACAAATTCTGCCACACTTCTTGTCAATCCTGATCACCAAAATGCTTCTTTGAGATCTTGTATATTTTATTACTCCCTGCATGAATAGTATAGCCAAATAAATAGGCCTCCTCAAGAATTTCCTTCCTCAGACTATCAACATCAAGAATATAAACTCTGCTATATATCCCAATAAACCATCATGATCTAGCACACACCTATCCAAATCACTTCTCTTATCCCGTTCCAAAGTTTTCTGTGCATTGTTATCTTTGGGTAAAGAAACTTTAATTTTGGTTTTCAAAGTGGACTGCACATTTAATTAATTTAATTGAATCTTATTGTCATCGGGATAATCAATTATTGATAGCTTCAACTTCTCAAAATCTTTAAGTAAATGCTCAGACTGAGTAAATAAATAATTCAAATTACCCAAAGTCATCCTACTCATCACATCAGCAAACGGATTTACCTTTCCTACATGATAGTGAATATCCAAACCATAATTTTTAATAAATTCCTGACATCTCCTTTGCCTCAAGTTCAATCTGCTCTTTCTAAGTAAAAAAAAAAATACTTCAAACTGTATTTGTTAGTACATACCTTGCACGTAACTTCATGGAGATAGTTTTCCATATTTTAAGTGCAAAAGTAACCGCTCCAGCTTCAAATCATGTGTGGGATTGTTCATTTCATGATTATTCAATTATTGTGATGCATATGCAATAACCCTTCCATGTCGCATAAGTGCACAACCCAAATCCCTTAAAGACGCACCACGAATGACCAAAATTGAAGCAGACATTAAATAGGTCTTTAACTTCTGAAAATTCTTTTCACAGCTATATGACCATTCAAATTTCATTGCATTCTCGGTCAAACTTAAAAATTACGTTCATATTACATAATTTTTTTTAATATTTTAAATCAACATAATGGTTCGAGGGAAAATATTAGAGATTTTATTAATTATTATTTTTTAAAACGATAATAATAAATAAGCAATTAATTAAAAATTTAAATTTATATTAATTTTTTTAAAAAGAAGAATAATTTAGAGACTCATTCAAGTTAAATTTAAGAAAAATAATCCTTAATTTTTTTCCTAATTAAAGGAAATGAGAATGAGCTTTTGTATGAACATCACTTTTGTTTAAAGACTCAGTGGTGATTATGTGGGCTGAATTGACTCATTTAGTTGGTGGGTTTGACCGTGAACTTATAAATAGAAACTGGGTTCAAGCTCAACATGAGCCCGCTTTAACTGGTCAAAGCCAGAAAGTTGAACCCATGCCAAGCCCGACCAGCCCAATGACGTGATCTAGGTGGTATGCCTGTAAAAGCTCCAATATAAATTTGTTGTGCCATGTTGCTCACAACCTCCCGTCCTACTTTCACTCCTTGTAAGAAAATTCATCCCTCCCACCCCGCAGTCGCATGCCTCCATTCATCCCACATCCTAAAATAAAGAATAAATAACAAAGCGATACCTCTTAAAATGAAAAAAAAAAATAAAGCTCGAATTTTTGGAGATAATGCTTAATATTCTAAACACGAGCTGGACTCATTAAATTTATATTTATTAAATTGTTATAAATTATTTTTTCGAGTCGAACATGAGTTTAATTCGAACAAATAAGTATGAATTAAGTCAAACACAAACATGCCATTCACGAGTCATTTCGAATATGAGCCCCACACGAAAAAAAAAAATTTAAACGAGTCAAGCACAAGCAAGCCTTAGGTTCTCTCAAGTTCAGCTTGTTTACACCCCTACTTTCAGGATAAAGTGACCTATGCATGCCAAACAAAAAAAGAAGGAAGAAAAGAGAGCTACTTAATTAGAGAAAAACGCTCCATGACCGCCACCAATCAAAGAAAGAAGCAAGATGAGGGATTTGGTGGTTGTAGATTTGAGCATAGTGAAGGCTTGCAACAAGGATCTTAGGGGGAGAAGGGGGATTCACTTAAGAGCATTAGAGGTTCTACTATGAGGAGAAACTTCGATTGTCAGGTAAGGATGGCTGATGACTGCATTATGATGCCCTAATCCTGCCTTTTTTTAATTGAGAAGGGAGGTGGTGCTAAATGTGGTATCATGAGTAGGAAGAAAGGTTAGGGAGAAAGAAATATGAAATACCTCTTAATTGCTGAAAGTTGGGGAAACAAAGGAGTGATGACAAACTAAGAGAAATCATACAGTTTTAATGATTAAGGAGTGAGGGGTGACAATTGCATAAGAGAAATGTTCTTTGTAGTTTGTCTTCATGAAATCAATGTAAATGCAATTCTTACCTATTTATACAATGAGCTACCTTAAAAGAAAATAATGAACATACTTTTTAGTTTAACATACATTTCTAATTCATTTGAAGCCAAAATTTAGCAAATGAAAATCAAATTGAATTACTACTTTTTAATATTGGAAAAAAATAGGAATATATCGATATTAATTTTAGACATTTTTAACACTACGACAATTTGTAGAATCTTAAGATGCAGTCTACACGTAGGTAGGGGCGTAAACGAACCGAACACGAACGAACATAGCTCATGCACGTGTTTGGTTCGTTTGAAATTACGTGTGTTTGAAATAGACTCATGTTTGAAATTGTTCGTGAAGTTACTGTTCGTGTTCGGTTTGAATTGTTTGAAATGTTTAGAATTATTCAAATTGTTTGAATTGTTTGAAATCTTACAAATTTGTTTGGATTATTCGAATTATTCAAAATATTTCAAAAGCTTAAACCTATATGAAATTAATGCTTAAATATATATGAATCACAACACAAATGCAAAATAGTCAAAACACAACTCACAATAAAACCAAAATATCATATCTCATCCATAAAAAAAAAAAAATTTCAGATCTAAAGACAATATGCGAGATTTCACTCACAAAAATTAGGTTTCATTCAAAGAAACTAAATAAATCTAAAAGAAATGTAAGAAAATTTATGCTAAGAGTCAAACCTAAAGATAAATACGAAATTATAAAATTTAATATAAGCTAAGAGACGAAGCTGAAGATAAGATTATAATTTATAGGATTTAATTTCTTAAAGTATGATAAATTTTTAGAGTATATAATTATTTTTATGATAAATTTTTTATATATAATTATTTTAAATTATTTTATATTTTGAACAATAATGACTCGAACAAATGATCTTTCGTGATTGGTTCAATTATAAATCAAATGAAAAAAATTTTGTTCATGTTCGTCTCATTTGTTTATCTAACGAATCGAATCGAACACGAACTCTACAACAAGCAGAACATAACTGCCTTTTATTTTACAACCCTACACTTAGTAAAAGTCTTGGGCAATAACGTAAAAAGCCACCCTTTATCTTCGTCGTTTTGAGCTTTTGACTGTCCTCCACGGTTTTCTCAGGGTTATATCCTCCATAGACCGAGCTCTCTCCTTCTCTTTCGGACTCGAGAGGAAACTTAAATCCGCTTCAGCTTCTAGATTTCCGCCCTCTGCAGCCCATTTTGGTCGGCCGGTGGCCCTCCGACTTCTCGCTCATCGCCGGCGGCGGCGCCGCCGAGTTCACGGACTCTACCTCGGTGAAACAGTTCTCTTCTGTCGGTGAGCCAGCTTCCCAAGTAGGCTTGACAAGCTCTTCTTATCGGAGTGATAGTAGCTAGGAGTTCTGGATATATTCTTTTTCTTGCCGTCTAGGGCTTTTGGAGTTGTTTCATTGTTGTCTTGAGATTGATGAAAGTCCGAAGGAAGATCTACAATCTATGACGACGGGGACTCCGGGGCGTCGCTGGATGGTGTTGAAGCTCCGGAGCTGGTCGCACATGGAATGGCAGATCTATTTGGGCATGGAAACGCTGATCCGGATGTCGAGAAGGTTAGTGGACCGTTGGCTTGGAAGTTTCATGGTTTCTTGTTTGGTCATACTAAGCTTCGGTTAGGAGATTTAATGCAGATGTTAACGCATTAATCTGTTCATATTTGATGCGTGAAATTTTGCATCAAATTTAGTCGAATTTGCAGTTTGATTAAAGAGTTGTGCTCATGAACATTTTATGGGAATGCTGTTTTGGCGCTCTTGGATGATGGGTTTTAACTCACATAATGACCTTTCACTATGCTCTGTTAATGTGAAGTTATTTTGGAGAGCATTTGAGGCATGTGTCTTAGAGAAGAAAAGAAGATAGATGGATGCTGGGAGTGGAGTATGATTTTGAGAGGCAATTATTCCTGGTGCCAAATGTTGAGAGACAATCATTCCTGTGCCAAATTGCTGGAGAGGCGTTGATGATCAACTTGCTTGATCTCCCACTTCTTTCTTGACGTTTTTTTCCCCTACACACATGGACAACACATATGCAATGTCTTGAATCGATAATCTCTTTGTTGAAAGACAAAGCTCTCAATCTCTAGGCCAAAGTAGCTTGCATTCTCTTCTTTTTTTAACATTTTTTTGTCTCTTTGAATTCAATTGTTTAGAGAGAGAGATGGGAAATGATCAATAGAAGTTCTTGGGATAAAGGCTTGTTTTACAATTGGAGAGACAAGCTTACGACATGTTTGTGTGTGTGTGTGTGCGAGAGAGAGAAAGAGCGAGAGAGAGAGAGAGGGAGAGAGAGAGAGATCCTGGAATATTGTGACTTGCAAGTTTGGGAGATAGGGAATCCTTTGACATTCAATCCATATATGATAGGTGACATGGATTAAGAATAAGTGAGGACCTTAGTATATATTTTTAATCCTTAATTGGATTAGAAATAACAAGTATTTGCCTACTAGAATAATCATTACCTAAAGAATATCATGCATCGAGCTACTAATTATTATGATAAAAGCAAAAGTCTTGTCATTGATTCCATGAGTATATAACAAATTGAAGAAGGGACTATTCATGATAAAAATATAGGCACAATAATGTATTGTTAGGGCTATTGTTGAAAATGCTATAATAGTCTCGATGCATATCTAGTTTGATTGAACCTTTTGTGCGCTTCAAAAATTTGCACCCAACTATCCGAACGGAGTTTCATTTTTTTGTCAAATTATCAAAAGATTGATTATATTTGAACTAAGATGCTAACTGGAAAATTTACTATCATTTTAGGAGTACTGTAAGATTTGGTTTAGATTTTTCATCAATGCAAGCCTTTATAGTTAAATACACCTCCTAGTGATGAGAGAATTTTTTTAGCAAAAAAATAATTTTAAATGCTTGACAAATTGTAACAATTTAGGTTTTTAGGTTAAGAAAGTTTAGCACTTTTAACTTAGATTAGATGGTGAAGGAGTGATGATGAACCCGATTAAGATCTTATAGCTCTATTGTTTTGGATTACTATAGTGATGGATGATGAACCCAATCTACTTAATTGATTCAACCATACTTAATGATTTATTAGCAACTATGGATTATGTTGTTCAAAGAAACTTTGTAGAATTGGGGTATATGTTTTTCTAAGTGAAATTTTTAGATTAACCTTAGCTAATAGTGGCTTTTGTGTCCAATCAAGTGTAATTAATAGTTTGTCTCTTGATAGATTTAATTCATCTGGGAAGCTATGGTGAATTTATAGGTTATAATCATGATCTTAATTTAATGATGTCGTTTTACAACAAATCACCTAGTTAGATGACATCGACAATGACATTCTTTTTTATGGTTCCAGTTAATGGTAAATTCACATAACTAGAAGACACCACATTCTTACAGATATCAGATTTTTAAGAGTGATCATAGATATATGCCTGGTATAACATTGCTTTTGGGGTGCTCGGGTCAATGTATATTTTTTACTCTCGAGGAATTATTGTGGCGAGTAAATGGATTATTATTGTAAAATTGGGAGCATTAAATTTTATTTGAATTTTTAAAATTTAATAATTTTCTTGATACTTATATACGTTATCTAAATTCAGGCTAAAAAAATTTGAATAGAATTTTTGGGACATGTTGAAAATAGAATCTCCTCCTCTTAATATCTACTTTTTAGCTTGATCCTTATCGAGATCTTAAAATGATTTTACTATATTATTTTGGACCTTTTCAACCATGTATCTTTTCTAGTAAAGGATTTGTCATTGATTGCATATATATTTGGGAGGTTCTAGTGATTGTTATGGTTAAGGTGTTTCAAGGGTGGGCACACAAAAGTTTTAGTAGTTGGGTTCACAAGGCTAGTGTGGATCATGTTATAGGGTGAGAAAGAGAGCATTGGGGTGTGTGAGCAAATAATTATTGGGTTGCTAGCTAACGTCGGAGTGTGAGTGAGTGAGTAATGGGGCACGCAAGTGATTAGTTGGTGATGGACTTTTGGTATGGATGTGCGGGGAACATCTTTTAGGGTGATGAAGAGAGCATTGGGGTATGTAAGCAAGCAATTATTTGGGTGAAAGCTAAGGCTGGGGTGTGAGTGAGGTGCGCAATCGATTACTTGGTGATGGAGTTTTTGTAAGGATGGTGACCAAAGTTTGTATGGTTTTACTTCCTTTAGTGGAGGCGTTGAATGCCATAATAACCCTAGATATGATTATAGTGGAGTGTGGAAAATGGGGAAGTGGAGATAAGGGTCTCCCAACACTGGGAAAACATGAAGCTCAAGGGCACTATGGTTTGCTTAGAAAATTAGATTTAGCCAGATTATGATGTTCTTGATTTTGGAATCACTTGAAGAAGTTTTGAACGTGTATAGTTGTGCTCTAGAGTTTATGTTGAATTTTTTAGGGCAGGTAAGTCTTTTGGTGAAGACCTAGTTTGGTTGATTAGAGGTTCTGCATTTTTTTATTTTTTTATTTTTTGTTTTTTGTTAGGAGATGGTTGGAATGATTGGTGTGTGAAGAGATGAGATTGTAAAGGATTGAAGAATGGAAATTAAGTATTAAAAGTAAAACAACATCACGAGATAAACTATCCCTAAAGATTTAAAGCCTCTCAGCCACGAGAGAAACTTGTGGGAACATTTTTCATTTTTTCATCAAATTCACATTAAAATGTTATAACATCATTCTTTTTATTTTAACACAACCTTCTTGTAGGCTTGAAACTAAAAATTTGAAATTACAAGTGGTTGGAGTGGTGATTCATTGAAATAAGGAGGTAGATGGTTCTCCATTAGAGAGGGGGTCGACCTCTATCTTGGAGAGGAGTAGCTGAGATGGCACTTTTGGTGGGTGGGGATATGGATCATTCTTTGGACGTCCCATGATGTTTTAATTAATTTTTAAAGCCTCTTATTTTATTATCAATGTACATTAAGTAAAAAAATAAGAAGCTTTGGCCAGCTACATCCAAAATAGGCTAGTCTTGAAATTTTTTCATGTTTTACCGTTCACCATGTGATGAATTAATGCACACTAACTATGTAAGGTACCATGTCATGTTCTTATAACCCAACATCAATTCGGTTACAAAAAACTAATTTTTGGTGCCTTAAACTCGTAATATATGATATAATTAAGTGTGCACAGATAGTAACTTGGCTATTGTCATTAATTCCTTACCATGACCTTGTGATAGGCCTATGTTGCATTGCATTAGTTTGGTGCATAAGGGCAAGCTCAGGATAGTGGCGATGACCGTTGATGGAAAACTTGCCCCCATCTAAGAATATTTGGGTTGGCAGCTATGGCTAGGGATTGGATTAATCCTACTTTAATACCATGTTAGACGAAAAAACCTTGTTATGTATTATTTATTGATAATGAGTACCTATATAAAATACCTTTAAAGAGAATGCTCTCAACTATCAAGCTGTAAGGAATAAATAAAAGTGTATGCACTTCTAATCAATACTTTTCTATTATACTTTTTCTAATCTAAGACTTTCCAACACTTCCCCTGTTGCAGATGGTGCTCTCTTCACACACAAAAGCACCCACAACATAGTTGTTCATGCTAGCACACCCGCATACAAAACATGGCACATGGCAACACATACAACAGATAGGCAAATTCTCACACACCCTATACACATCTTTATTGTTTCTCTTTGGTCATTTATGTAATCACATTGCCATCAAAGTCTCTTGGCTTGTCTCTTACCCTATTATAAACTTTCTCTTTCAATTATTCTCAATCATTCGGCATAGATCTTCAAAAAATACTAGCGATATTTTGTTGAGGGAAACAATGAGTTCCAAGGGAGCCTTTAACGAAGCAAGTATAGATTTAGAGAGAGATTTGATGCGAGGGAGGTGAAAGTGAGTTGCTGCTGCTTTGTTTTAATCATACACTTTTGTGAGCTCCTTGCTCGCCATTGGTGTCACTGTTCTCATGTTACATTATTGATGGTTTTGATTTAGTGGTGAAGCTAACTCCTTTTGTTGGGAAACTGAAAGGAAAGACATCTTCACCTTATTAAGTGATACCTGCCTACTATTGCCACCATTAATTTTTTTCTATACATTTATATTTTTTATTGGCTCTATTGTTCACTTCATGTTTTATGCAAATTCAAGTTTACACTCCGTTGGAATCTGTTAGTTTTCCATTGATCTTGAATTGACATTCTAATTTTGCAGGCATTTGTGGCTTTGAAGAAAGGCAGCCAATTGCTAAAGTATGGTCGCACAGGGAAACCAAAGTTTTATCCATTTAGATTGTCAAAGGTGAGTTCAATTAACAATTTTCTGCCTTAGCCAGAATTTGACTTCTCTCTCTCTCTCTCTCTCTCTCTCTCTCTCTCTCTCTGTATATATATATATATATATATATATTATGGTCCACTGCATATTGGATGAATGAGATATATTGACAATTTTGGGCTAGGTATTATATAAAACGCTTGCATTATTCCTTGACTTAAAACAATTGTTTTCCTCCAATTTATTATTGAACCTTTCCAAGGTGTGCTCATATACCCATCTTACTTCATTTTGGTTTTTTATTCGGTTCCAAATCAATAATTTTGTATTTTGGTTGAACTATATTTGGCATTTTTTGATATAACTTCCATAGAAAACAATGAAAGGTTGCTTTTATAGTTTCCTAATGTGTTATGCACAAGCTGCTTGCATCTTAGATGGATTGAGCATGTCTTGAATAACTTCTTCTTTATGGTAATCCGATACTGCAATTTTCATAGGATGAATCATCATTGATCTGGTTTTCAAGTGGCAGAGAGAAGACTTTGAAGTTGACTTCTGTTTCAAGAATTATACCTGGACAAAGAACAGTAAGATCTCATCCACAAAATACTTGGTGTCCTCTAAATATTTATGTTTAAAAAATTTTCGTTAAAATTCAGGATTCTTACTCTACAACTTTTTTTTTGTTTGTGTTTATTTGGTTTTCAGCCTGTTTTTCACAGATACCTTCAACCTGAAAAGGATTTTTTGTCATTTTCACTAGTATACAACAACGGTAAACGGTCTCTTGATCTGGTTAGTTCACTTTAGTTTTGTTTTGTGTGTTTGCTTTATAGGATTTCTGTGCTTCTGACTATGACCTTATTATTAACTTAGATATGCAAAGATAAAGTTGAAGCTGAGTTGTGGTTTACAGGCCTTAGGGCTCTGGTCTCATCTGGACAGGATGGACGCCTGAAGATTGATGGATGGACTGACGGGGTTTATCTTCATGTAACATTATCACAACACTAGCATCAATTCTACTTTCAATAGTACTTAAAATGCTAACAGGTTTTTTTGTTTGTGTGTAATTGGATTCTGGACTATGTATTTTAAGATTTATTCTCATCAAATTTTCTAAACATAAAAGAGGGGGAGGCAGTGGAATAAAGAAGGTTAAGAATTGTAGGTAGAAACTCCCGGATAAAGAGCATCTTCTCATTGGTCTCAGATTTTACCATTTTGGGTCCAGCTTTGTCCAATCTCTTACTTTATCTCTTAGATACAATATATGTGCTAGATGACGTTTTAGGTGTTAACTTTGTTTTGGCTAAAGGAAGACGGTCAAGCAAAAGGAATAGAAAAGAACTTTAGTTGAAACTTTTAATCCTTGGAAATTGTGGGTTCAAATTAAAGATGTGCATTTGTGATCCCTTTGCTTATTTCCTTGTGTAATAAATGAGTCCTAGATGTCCACTTTTACTGATTTGATGACATGGATGGAGGGTGCAATGACTTCAATGTGCTAAAACTCTCGAAGCTTTTACTATGAGTTTTGAAGCATAAGCAATAAAGTCACTATGTTTACATTTAATTATTTGTTCGATCTCTAGGCTATTATGATTGCGAGCATTTTATTGGCTCTAATATATTTGATTTGCATTCAACTAAGCAAGTTTTTCTCATTTTATAATTTGATCTCATTATTTGTAGAATGATTACACCTTTTTAATGCAGGATATTTTATGATCTTTTTAATGACAATAATCAGAGAGAAATTGTTGACTATTTCATTCTAATATGTGTAGTCTTTATGCAATTTTAGGGGAGCCTCTGATTTGAAACATACAAAATCAGAGAATAATAATTATAGAATAATTTCCATAGTCAACAAATTGATGAGTAGGCATGATAATAATGATAATAGTTCACGAATTGATGAGATGAAATTACTAATTCCACAGATCATTAAAGTGGCTTGAAGTGAATAAGAAAAATTGAGGATTGTTGGGCTTGGTGGAATATAATGAAGACAAAATTAGGGGCATGATTAATGAAGATTGTTCTTTTTAGTCTCGCTTAATATAATGAATGAATATTTTCATTTTAAGCTCGTTTGGTAATTTCTGAGGACTATCTCAAATTGGTATGCCCTGTACGTGGGCCAATTTTTTTCTTCCCTTAAAAACATGTGAGCCAACTGCAACTACTTCAGATGGTTCTTTTCATTTAAGCGTTATGTTGAATGGATGTTTCAAAAGTCTCTCATTGATTTGGGCTGCATCCCTTAATTTCAAGTGAACCTGAGATCAAGGTTATGTGGATGTCATCATTATTGTCTATGGAGAGATTGTGGTTTTATTCACATGAAACAAATAGAAATGGAAGGAAAAGCAACAATGCAGTGATGCAGGTTACGACAATGTGACTATTTAAAACAACATTGCGAAGAAGGCTACAATGATGATAAATGTTGCAACAATATAGCGGTAATGGCTGCAACAATGAAACTAGTTCGTTGCCATGCATTGATGACGATTGTAACTATGGGAATTGTTTGCAACAATTCAACAATGAGGGCTATAGTTTTAAAAAAAATAAATGAAAGTAAGAAAGTGCGGTAAGAAATTGTGGCAGTGAAAGCCACACAATTATGATAATGCGGTGATGAAAGTTGTTGTAATGGAATTATAAGAAAGAAAGGCAAGATTTCTAGATAATTTTTTTAGTAATTCATTTTAATATTTGGAAAGTATTTATTGAAATTTATGAGGTTTTCTAATAGAAAACATATAAAATCAATTAATAAAGACTATAGAATAATTATAGTAATGCACAAATTACAAATTACATGTAATAGTAATTACAATTGTCCACATATTGATATGGTGACTCTAATAATCTCAGGATCATTGAGATGGCATGAAGTGAATACACAAGGTGGAAGATTGATAGACATGGAATTGTTGTAGATTGATTTTTCCATAGATAATTATCAATAAAAAAAAATTGAGTATACGATATGTTACTTTTTCACCCATTTGATGTGAAACTGATAATTATAAGTCAATATTCATAAAATATTAGGTGATACCTAGATATTATAGATTTTATGTTTTGAATCTTTTATATATAAGAATGTTGATATGGATGCTGATATAACTTTTGTACTTAAGTTAGGTGATAAATTGGAGAAGTACCTTTTCGTTTTATGTTACTATGTAACAAGGTGATACCAAGAAAATATAAGTTTATATGCAATTATAGTTAGATTCCCAAATAATCAGGATAAGGTTGAATGATAAATTTTGCTTTCTTAGCAATTTAATTTATTTTTAATACCAGCATGTGTACGATGGATATTTCTTATCAGTTCCATACAAGCACATGTTAACAAGCTTAGAGTGAGAACGATTCACAGCTGACATTTATAAATATTGTCCGCTAATATCTAAGCTGATTGGAGAAAAAAAAATTACAGTTTCATTATTTTCTTTGGGATTGCTGCATCAATTATTTTTTTCTGTGTAACATAAATGATTTGAATAGAATGAATGTTGTCCATATCCATTTTTGTATTCAGGAGAAATTTAATGGTTTTATTTTTAAAACTTCCTACTTGAGGCCTTTGAAATCATTATTTTCATATATATATATATATTGAAAAAGATTGGCCAGAGGCTATTATACGAGCCTCCAACCACCCCTAATATGTTTAACACTTTGAGTGCCACATCCTTATGGCCAACTGTGTCAGAGGGGATTCGAACCCCCGACCTTAGGGGTCTTATACCGTGGATGCCAACCAACAGGCCGGGGTACTCCGGGGTACTCGACACAATATATATATATATATATATATATATATAGACACACACACGCACACACACTCAATGCTTTGTTTAACAACCATAAAAATAAATAAAAAAATCTTAATTCAATAGCAGAGATCAAGATGAAGGGTTTTGCTTCCTTGTAAGGGTTTTGTTCAATGTTAGTAGTAAATATTGGTGTGACTTGGGAGATTGAATACAATGTTTAAGGGCAGACTCAAATAAATTTTTCATTTGCTGAGAACTCCGAGGGTAAATAAATGACAGGCTAATTACAGAGAAATAAAGTAAATTTTCAAATAATTATCTTTATGTAGGTGAATCATCAAGGAGCTCTTTATTATCGAAAATAGTCTGGGTCTTCATGGAATTTAAATAGATTTGTAACTCTAAATATCAAAATTTTCAAGAATCTTGATTGCGTATTTTATTTGAAAAAGATATATCGTTTTGTTGTTTAAAGTGCTTTGGCCAACCTAGCTCTTTAGTGACAAAACACTTTTGCTACAAGTTTTTCCTGAGGGATACATTTATGATCATTCATAGTAAGTAAGACGTCATCAATCTAAACCATCAGTATGATAAAACCTAACATGTATGCTTGATGAAGATAGAATGGTCTGTTGTGCTAGCACAAAGGCCAATCTAGGCAAGGACTTTACTGGACTTGTAAACCAAGCTTGTGAAATTTGTTTAAGCCTAAAGGCTCATAAGCATTAGGAGCAAGCATGGGCGCATGTGCCACATAAGTGAGGGTAGGAGCGGACTATTGGGATTAAAATTAGGAGTTATGACTGACTTGCCTCTAACACCATGTTATAGGATTTTTTTTATTTTTTTCCCTTTTGACTAGAGATCTTGTTTATAATCATGGATTGAATGCAATGTAGGGACACCCAAATAACATTTAGATTGTCAAGAGGACAAGATAACTCTTGACATGTCTAATGTTACCCACGGTGTATGATTAAGCCATGAACTTGCATTTATTTACTATGAATTATTGAGTGATAGGTGTTGCTGTGAGCCTATGGATTTGATGTGGTTAGACTATTCATTATAAAGCCTTAGTTGTGCCTCTCCAGCGTAAGTTTGAGCTTATGTAGTAGTTTGCTGCGCTTAGTGGTCTTACATAAATTTGTTGTCAAGATAGGGGTTAGTGTTTATGACTATTAAGAGAAGATGACACTAGTCTTCTCTCCCATGTTCCACAATGTACAATTAAGTCATGGTTGTCTAACACACCTATTGATCTTGGGTGGGTTGTACCATTCTTTATAAAAATTTGTTTGCTTTCTCTGTAAGTCAGATATTTTGGAGTACTTTGTGGGCACTTTCTTATTCATTATAATTCTACTCTAAAAGATCAAATCCATTGGAAAAAAATATTTTGTTTTTTTTGCTGCTCTCCTCCCTCTCTCATATATAAAATGTTATGTATTGGATATAATGCATTTTTTTTTACATTGAAACCCAGAACAAATTTATGCATAATTTTCTTAGGTCACGCATTACTCTAGATTTATGCCGCACTGAACATTGATCTGGCTTGAGAGGGATAATCTTGCACCCACCTCTTGGTTGAGTCCTTTTTTTTGGGTATATTGCTCTGAATATCTTGACATTTGGATTAAAAATGCCTATTTTCTATCCAAATTGTTTGCAACCTTGTTTCAGAGTTGCAAGCGCTTGATATATAGCAGTCAAAGTGACAGTCTATCAGGAACCTTGCAGGATTCTCCTGTTAGAAAGGTAGTCGACAACGCATTGCCTAAAGAGCCTCCTCAGAGCATGGTAAACGTAGAAAGAACAGATGCGTCGAACATGCAAGTAAAAGGAGCCTCTGATGTTTTCAGAGTCAGCGTGTCCAGTGCTCCTAGCACTTCCAGTCATGGTTCTGCTCAGGATGAGTCGGATGGATTTGGAGATGTGTATATTTGGGGCGAGGTCTTGAGTGACTCCTCCAGAACTGGGCCCGAGAAAATCATTAGTTTTTCTAGTACAAGAAACGACATCCTCATTCCAAAGCCTCTAGATTCTCGTATAGTTTTGGATGTTCAACATGTGGCTTGCGGGGTACGGCATGCCGCTCTCGTAACTAGACAGGGAGAAGTATTTACATGGGGCGAAGAATCTGGTGGAAGGCTCGGTCATGGTGTGGCAACTGATGCCATTCACCCTCGTCTCGTTGAATCCTTATCATCCTCTAACATCGATTTTGTTTCTTGTGGAGAATTTCATTCTTGTGCTGTTACTGCTAGTGGCGAGCTTTATACTTGGGGAGATGGCGCCCATCAATCCGGGCTACTCGGTCACGGCACTGACATCAGCCATTGGATTCCTAAAAGGGTTTCAGGACCTTTGGAAGGACTTCAAGTCGCGTCCGTCTCTTGCGGAACTTGGCATACAGCATTGATAACCACAACCGGTCAGTTATTCACATTTGGGGACGGCACTTTTGGTGTTTTAGGCCATGGAAACAGAGACAGTGTTTCGTATCCTCGGGAAGTCGAATCTTTGATGGGTTTGAAGACTGTTGCTGTCTCGTGTGGAGTCTGGCATATGGCTGCTGTTGTCGAGGTTATTGTAACACAATCAAGCGCATCTTCTAGCAAGCTATTTACTTGGGGCGACGGAGACAAGTATCGGCTCGGTCATGGTGACAAAGAGCCGCGCCTTAAGCCCACTTGCGTGCCATCCCTCATCGATTACAATTTTCACAAGATAGCATGCGGTCATAGCCTTACAATTGGCTTGACCACTTCGGGCCACATCTTCACCATGGGAAGCACTGTTTACGGCCAGCTCGGGAATCCCCATTCCGACGGAAAACTTCCATGCTTAATTGAGGAAAAGCTTGCCAATGAGTCTGTTAAATCTGTTGCTTGTGGTGCTTATCATGTCGCGGTTTTGACATCGAGAGGCGAAGTTTACACATGGGGAAAGGGAGCAAACGGTCGATTGGGTCATGGAGATCTCGAAGATCGAAAGACGCCTACGCTTATCGAAGCTTTAAAGGACAGACCCATCAAACACGTCGCTTGCGGGGCGAATTTCACGGCCGCCATATGTCATCATAAGTGGGTTTCTGGTGCCGAGCAATCGCAATGCACGGCGTGCCGACAAACGTTTGGGTTCACTCGAAAGCGACACAATTGCTACAATTGCGGCCTCGTGCATTGCCATTCTTGTAGTTCACGAAAGGCTTTGAGAGCTGCATTGTCTCCGAATCCTCGAAAACCTTATCGAGTATGTGATTCGTGTTATATCAAGTTGAACAAAGCCGTTGAATCTGGTGGGATGTTGGAGAAGAAGATTGTTGTTCCTCGTCTATCGGGCGAAAGTAAAGACCGGTTTGATAAAGCAGATACAAAAATATTGAAAGTGGCTTCACCTAGCAATTTTGATTTGATTAAAAATCTGGATATTAAAGCTGCTAAATTTGGAAAGAAATCTGATTCGTTGCCTTCGATTCGCACTTCGCAATTGCCTTCAATTTTACAACTCAGAGATGTTCCGTTTTCTGCCGGGATGGATATGCAACAAGTAAATTCCAGATTAGCGAACATTTCAGCTATTCAGTCTAACAATCATTCCAGAGCAGTTTCTCCATTTTTGAGGAAGCTTAGTCCTCCACGTTCTGCAACTCCCATTCCGACAATGGCTGGTCTTTCATTCTCCAAAAGCATAGCTGAAAGCTTGAAGAAAACAAATGAGCTTTTAAACCAAGAAGTACAAAAGCTGCGCGGCCAAGTAATGTCGCTAACTCTTAAGCTGTGCTGTTTTGTTTATGCCTCATTCTCTTTAGGTAAATTTACATACTTAGCACATAATTCTCACGTATTTACATTTCTAGCGTTTAAACTTTGCTTTGTACATTTATACCACCAAAATCTTTCATAGCACATAAAACTACCACTATTTTTAAAAGTGAAGCACATCTTTTCATGCATAGGTAAATTGACATGTATGTAAAAATTGAAGTATGGGTGTGAGATATGTAAATACATAAGAATTAAGTGGTATGTATGTAAATTCCTCTCCCACCCCCACCCAAATTTTTTTTGAAACTTATACAGTAATATTGGGAGATCAGGTTAATAGCTTGAATCAGCGCTGTGAACTTCAAGAAATTGAGATACAGAAGTCTGCGAAGAAAATTAGGGAAGCCATGATGCTTGCTACAGAGGAGTCTGCGAAGTCAAAAGCTGCAAAAGAAGTCATCAAATCTCTGACTGCACAGGTGAAATTTAAATCTCCTCCCATTCTTCCATTTTCAGTAACCTCATGAACTGTACTCCGCTCACCTTTTCACTCCATTTTCACTTCTATGTTGAACAAAATTTTAGTCCAAGTTGGATAGAAGTTGGTTGTAAGGTATAGGGTGATCATTTTTGTAGTTATGTATTATCTCATTTTTTTTATTTATTTAATATTTTATCATTTTACAGTTTATAAATTTTTTATTCCTGTAAGCCTATATTTCTTAGCTTCATACTGAGCTCCAAACTTTGATTTCATCCGGAATGCCGGTCTTGATGCAATATAACATACTTTCTAATGCAACTAATCTTATTTTTAGTGTTAATTCATGCAGCGTAAATGTGGAATTTCATTTCAGAAATCATCAAAGAATTGAATCATTTATTTTCCTTAAATATAAACAAATAACATTATAATCAAAACTCGAATAACAATGAAATGATCTGATCCTAATTTTTCTTTCTTTTGATCCTAATTATCCAGCTTAAGGATATGGCAGAGAGACTCCCACAGGGTGTCTATGAAGCTGATCCCATTAAATTACGATCTCTACCAAATGGCATTGACACGCATACTTCTCATCACATCGATTCAATCGGAGTGCAGAATTCAATCAACGGAGACAGTGATTTACAGCAACTTCATACGAATGGAATTGTCAAGCTGAATCATGTGCCGAGAAATGACATCGAAGCTAATGGAATCAACACTAACATTCAAAATCTCGAGTTTTCTAATCCAATTGGAACGGAAAAAAACACGAATACAAAACATGGCGTGGACACCGAACCGGAGCCACACATATCGAATTCTAGGTCTGATTTCTCCAACAACAATGAATCCAAATCTGTTCAAACTATGGAGAATGGTTCAAAGCCAGCAGTTAATCAAATTGAGGCCGAATGGATCGAGCAATATGAACATGGGGTATATATTACACTAACGGCTCTTCTTGATGGCACGCGAGATCTGAAACGAGTTCGTTTCAGGTACCTGACTCAGTTCTCAACTGCTTTTTTCATTTCATCATGTTCTGATTCTGTTGTATTTACATATCCCATACCTATACTTTCATGTTTACGCACATTACTCAAATTTTTATAATCACATAAAATATAGCACCATCGTTGCTTTTTAAAAGTGAAATTTAAAAGTGAAATACATATTTTCATGCATGGATTTAAACCACTAAAGTGCTATGTATGTATAGATGAAAGTTAAGGTGTGAGATATACAAATACATAAGAATTATGTGCTAGGTATGTAAATTTCCCTTTCATGATTCAACTTATTTGGCAGCCGAAGAAGATTTGGAGAGCAGCAAGCTGAAGCATGGTGGTCGGAGAATCGCGACAAGGTGTACGAGAAATACAATGTGAGAGGATCAGAGAAGTCTTCGTCCACACTTTCTTCGTGATCCGGAGCATGGAGAGTTCTGCTGAGAGAACCAGGATGTGTTAGTATAAGCTTTTTTATTTATATTTGTTTCATTTTTAAGAATATGATATATTTCTTTCCTTATCCATTGTAGTGTAATGTATATATATGCAATTACTAGATTGTTCTTTTATAGGGTAGAAGAAGAATATTGTGCCCTTTTCATTGTACAACCTCTCCTTAAGGGCTAATGAACCTCCATGAAAGTAGGAATGTCTCCACAATGTTCACCAAATTGAAACTTTATTTATGTTTAGGTTTATAAAATGAGTCGATCTCGAGCTGTCCTGAATTGAGCTTGAGATCAAGTTTAATTCAAATTGTTTGAGTTGGCTCATGAGTGCTTCATTTAGTATGAAAGGAAGAAGATTCTCATTCAAGTAACTATTTTATTAAAATGATGAAAAAAAGGTGAGTTTGGAGAAATGAGAAATTAAGAGAGAGAGATATATATATTTGTATTAACTTTGAATAAGTAATCATCAAAGTTTATGTTAATACATAAATACATAAAAATTTTGTAGTGTATATATTAAGTTGTTTATGGTTTAATTAACATTTTGTTAATAAACACTACAATGATTATTCGATTTATCAAATATAAAAGAACAAAGTTTGTGAGGCAATAATTTTTGTAGGGGTTTTATTCTATTGTTCGCTAGCTTCATCTTTGTTGCTTAGATTTATTGATGAAGTCTATTTTTAACTCAAAATTCAGATTGCAGCCAAACAACACATTAGAGTTTCATAAATAGTAGACAATTTACAAACTAAGGAAATGAATTGAGCAAACCAGCCCTTTTTCTTGCGTTTATTTTATCTACTAATATTTCCATGACAAATTAAATTATGGGCCTGTTTGGGGCTGCTTATTTGGTGCGGTGCATTTTGAAAACATCAGAAGAAGCGTTTGGTTACGGAGGCGCTGCAAATTATTTCAATAACTCAATAAAAATTCTTATTAAACACGATCACAGGTTCGATCCCTCTGCCCACGTTTCTTCATGTTTTTTATTACCTCGCTACTCTCTCGTGTCTCATCTGCCTAAGGTGGCTGCCTCTCTCGATCGCTCTCACGAACCCGATACCTCTCTCGTGCTTTTCTCCCTCTCACGCATCTCTCTCGCACTTCGCATTGCCTTTCTTCTCCTCCCTCCAATCTTTGGTTGCTATACTTTGTAAGTAATTCATGTGGTAATTTTCAATGGAATAGCTTTCTTTATGCGATTTTTGGCTTTATCATTTATAGTTTGTTGTGAGATGTTTGTGATATTTGCGATTTGTAGCTTTTTGATTTGTCATTTGTGATTTGGGATTTGAGTCTTGCACAAAAAAAATGTGGAATAGTGTTTGGGGAATGGATGAAAGAGTCTGCTTGATTTGGAGAAAGCAATTTTCGGTTGCCCTGTATGTAACCGATTGAATATGGATGACCATCTATCATTTCCTCCACTAATTATTGAGTGGACATTTGAAAAATGGATGAAATAAGGTGCTTGATTTATACATAGCGTTGCTTCGGGTGCCCTCAAAATTACATACAGTCTCAAAATTACATACAGTTTTTTTTTTTCTTGTTGGCAAGAATTTGAGAAATAGATGAAACAGGGTGCTTAATTTGTAGATACCAACGTTTTGGCTGCCCTGAATGTAGTTGCCTCAAATGCAAATTATGGAATGAGGTTTTATCACTTTGGTGTTTGAGTGAGAATTTGAAAAATAGATGAAAAATGATGTTTGATTTGTACATAGAATTGTTTCGAGTGCCCTGTTTGTAATTGCCTCTATTCAAAATTACATACAATTTTTATTTTTTATTTTCTATTTTTTTTTTAGCGAGAATGTGATAAATGGATGAAAGATGCTGCTTATTTTGTAGATAGCAACATTTCGGGTGCATTGTATGCCATTACCTCAAATGAAAATATGGGATGGGGTTTTATCACTTCCTTTGATGTTTGAGTGAGAATTTGAAAAATGTATTAAATAGGGTGCTTGATTTGTACATAGCATTATTTCGGTTGTCATGTATGTAATTGCCTCAAATGAAAAATATGGGATGAGATTTTATCACTTCCTTTGATGTTTGAGTGAGAATTTGAAAAATGGATGAAATAGAGTGCTTGATTTGTACATAGCTTAGGGATGAAATAGAGTGCTTGATTTGTACATAGCTTTGTTTGGGGTGCCCTCTATGTAATTGCCTCAATTCAAAATTATGGATTTGATGTTTGAGCCAGAATTTGAAAAATGGATGAAAGAGGGTGCTTAATTTATAGGTAGCAATGTTTCAGGTTCCCTGTATGTAATTGCCTCAAATGACAAATATGGGTTGAGGTTTTATCACTATATTTCATGTTTGAGTGAGAATTTCAAAAAATGATGAAATATGATGCTTGATTTGTAGATGACAATGTTTTCTTCAAATTACATATAGGGCATCCAAAACCAATGATTGTGTTGTGAGCTGTGGTGGTTGTGTTGTGAGTTGTGGTGGTTGTGTTGTGGTTCGGATTGTTGTGGTGTTGTGTCACTGTGACGTGGTTTCTGTGGGATGTGTGTGAAAGTGTGGTTGGATGGTTGTGGTTTGGTGGTTGTGGTTTTGGTGGTTTTGGTGTTGTGTCTTGTGGTGTGGTGGTTATGGGATATGTTTGGAGGTGTGTGGTTGGTTGGCTGTGGTGTGGTGGCTTGGGTTGAGTGGTTGTGTTGTGGGTTGCGGTGGTTATGATGTGGGTTGTGGTGGCTATGCTGAGGGTTGGGTGGTTGGGAGGTTCTTGTCATGTGGTGTGGTGGCTGTGGGATGTGTAATGTGTGTGGTGGTGTGGTTGGGTGATTGTGGTCTGGGTGGTTGTGGGTCTTATTGTGTTGTGGGTTGTGGTTGTTGTCAAATAATAACATTTTGTTTTGTTTTTGTGTTTGTTTTTTTGTTTTTTTTTTTTTTTTTTTTTTTTTTTTTTTTTTTTTTTGTGCTAGTAACACACTGGTTAAGACTAAAGAAGTAGATTCTTCAGCCATGTGGGGTAGGGAAGCCAAACTCATATTTTGCGACCTCTGTCTTAAGGGGTTTAAGCTGGGAAATAGATCTACCACTTATTTAAACAAGGAAGGGTGACAAAATATTATGAAGAAGTTCAAGGAAACGATAGGAAGAGTACGACAGACTGCAACTTAAGAACATGTGGGATCAGTTGAAAAAAGACTAGAAATTATGGAAGGAATTAAAACGGGGACCCACGGACTTGGGTTTGAATCCAATCAAATAGACTATTGATGCTTCTGAGGAATGGTGGGCTGAGAAACTGAAGGTAACAACTTATCAATGAAAGACTTTATTTTCATTGCTTTCCCTTCTTTAATTGTATGAAATAATTAACTTGTTCGTACATTATAGGCAGTGTCAGCCGCCAAGAAATTTAAACTCATTGGAATTGACCCTGATCTGGAAGAAAATTTGAACTGTATGTTTGGTGGGGTTGTGGCAACGGGGACCTGTGCCTGGATCCCAAGTGAGCAAGTGTTTGCAAGCATACCAAAGGGCTTGGATGTCGAGCATGTAACTGGCTCCTGTGAAGGCCTAAGCCCAAACCAAAATGAACGGGAGTCCACATGCAAGTCAAAACGTTCTATGCTGGAGAAAAAAAAAAAGGAAGGAGTTGCTTTCATTGAAAGCTAAATATCAAAACTAATGGTTTCAGGTACGAGTGATCCTGGGACTTCACATGCGACCTTCATAGACGAGGCTATCTAACTTCTGGAGGCAACTCCCAAATTTCTTAAGGGCGTGTTGTTATATTTGAACTCCTTAAAGTTGTTGGAAGGCTCAACTCGTAGACAAATCTTCATGAAGATGGATCATGACCGTAGAGCCAATTATTATTATTATTATTATTATTATTATTATTATGGTAGCAAGGATGATTGATTTTGTGTTGTCATCATTGAACTATTTGTATTTATTTTCCTGTTTTTTTTTTTTGAATTTCTAATTTGGATGTTTTTTTCTTTCTTACAGAAACTATTTATTTGTTATTTTATATTTAATTCTTCTTATTGTAAGCTTTGTGATTCAATTTTTGATGTTCTTTAACGTTGTTTGATTCACATGTATTACCTGAACAGAACACTTGTTTAGCTTCGATTCACAAAGAGAGAGGCGCAGAAGGAAAATTGTGACAGCAGTTTGTATGTTGTACGAATATTATAACTCATATGTTGATCGAACTCCTTGCATGACATCTACTTACATTGGTGATAAATAGGTTGGAGAGCTACCACAATGGCACCTTACAAGATTCAACGTGTTTTGTATGACACAACATATATTTATAGATTTGCTTGATGAACTACATATGAATCATGAACTTCATGGCTTCTCAAGAATGACAACAAGAGAAGTGTTATCGACAACCTTTTATATTTTATCACAAAATGAATCAATAAGAATAGTGATGGAGTCATTCAACATTCATCGGAGACAATCAACACATATTTCTCAGTGGGGTTAAATGCTCTTATTAGTTTGGTCGCACAGATTATTAAGCCTGAGGATCCAACATTTGAGAGGATTCCAACAAAGATTGTGAATATCTTGTGGTATATGTCATTTTTCAAGGTAAATCTTTTTACTCGTTATATTCAGAAGTCAAAATGAGTAGTGTGGTTATCACAACTTTATTTAATTTGTGAGGATTGTATTGGAGCGATCGATGGAAGCCACATTGATGCTCGTATATCCAATAATCTTTTGGCGGTGTGGATCACCTACATAAAATGTGACGACTGTCTATGATTTCAACATGTGTAAAAAGATCACATTCATTGGGCGGTGTGGATCACCTACGTAAAATGTGACGACTGTCTATGATTTCAACATGTGTTATACTTTCGTTATGGCTGGTTGGGAATGCAGTACACATGACAGTCGTATATTCGCTTTTGCAATAAGAAATTGAAAGCACCACTTCCCTTACGCACCTTCAGGTTTTTTCAACTATTAATCATATTCAGATAATTTTTAAGTTCACTAATAATTAATGTATTTGGAACAGATAAATATTATTTGGTCGACGCTAGATATCCCTTACAAAGAGGGTATCTGAAGCCCTTTTCGGATATGAAATATTACATTCCAGATTTTCAAAGATCCACCAATGTTGCTCGGGGCCAAAAAGAAATGTTTAACAAGAGATACTCATCCTTAAGCGGTGTAATTGAAAAAACATTTAGAGTGTGGAAGAAAAAAATGGGTCATACTATGTGATATGTTGACGTATACATTTCTGAAGCAGGTGCAGATTGCAATGGCTACAATGACTCTCCACAACTACATTTAACGGCATCATTCTTGAACTGATGTAAACTTCAACATGGCTGACGGTGATCATTTACACGTCCTAAAGCATTTGAATATCACATAGGACAATGTATACCATAGCCAGAAGTATAATCACAAGAAGGTTGCACCCATGATGGCGAAGGTGCCGGAGAAATGGTTGAATTGAGAGAGCAGATTACAGATGTCGTTGTTGGATGTTAATTGCATGATTCTTATTTATTTTATACAGTTCATATTTATTATCTGTTCCTTGTATATTTAATATTATTTGTTTGAGTTTTTTGCATTGTAATTGTTTTTTTTTTCTTTTATCACTTCTTTTCCTTTACTTTTGGTGGGTTTGAGAGGTCCGTGATGAGACATTTGATTTTATGGGTTCTTCTGGATGGTCTGTTAGCCAGTGTTGGTTGGTGTCACATGTGAAATCCTAATGAATGCAACCAAGTTCCTCTTTTTTTCGATACTGCAATTATTTAGGTTCTTCTGGATTGCTTTTTTAGTGATATGTGTTGTGACACACAAGCTTGATATTACGTGGGTTAAAGGTAACCAAGAACCCTTTTTTGACAAAATATGTTGTCTTATTGTATTGATAGATTTGTTGTTTGGTGTAATGAATTCTCTAAGACCTCGCGCTTACTAAAAAATGTAATGAATCACTTCGTTTATCAATTTCTGCTTGTTTATTTTATAAAGTTCATGTTTATTTATGTTCCTTGTCCATTTGATTATGAATGTTTGAATTTTTTTTGCATTTTGAAGTGTTTTTTTTCCTTCTTTCCTTTGTCTTTTCTTTTGGTGGTTTGAGAGGTCAATGATGAGACGTTAGACCTTATGAGTTCTTCTGGATGACCTGATTGTCGGTATTTTTTGGTGTCACATGTGAAATCCTATTGAAGCCAACCAAGTTCCTCGTTTTTTTTTCGACAATACAACTTTTGAGATTCTTCTGGATTGTCTTTTTTCGTGATATGCATATGTAACACACACGAGCTTGGTATTACGTGAGTTAAAAATAACCAAGAAACATTATTTTATAAGGTTTGTTGTCTTTTTGTAATGACAGATTCATTGGTTGGTATGTTGAATCCTTTGAGATCTTTTTCCTACACAAAAATTGTAATTAATTACTTATTTTATCAACTTATACTTGTGTCAAAAATTGTAATTAATTACTTATTTTGTCAACTTATACTTGTGTTAAGACTAATGCATTGTCTTTTGAAGCATTCGAGAAAGATGAGTTCAATAATTTCAAGGACCTCTCGAGGAGTGCTATGTCACTACAGACTATAGAGTTCATTGCTCACGTCATATCAAACACATAGATACAGGAGACAATTTTACAAGTGCCCACAGAGAATAATGAACAAATGAGACTTCTTCCGATGGATAGATAAGTTGAAAGATTCCACGACCAAGAGTAATTGGAAATGGATAGTATCTCTGGAAGACGGCCTGCCACGTGACATGCATCTTCTCCATTCTAAAAATAATATTATCATATTATTTACTATTATTTTAGTTGTCTTTTTTTTTATTTTTAGTAATGATGATACTCACTGCCAAGTGAGATGTATATTTTATATTTTGCACTGTTTTGAAATGAATTTTTGTTTCTAAAACATCAAATATATTATTATAACAATTATATTGCAAACAACATTACTATGCAGGGGCAGAATAGTTATTTGCCCAAAAACAATTGTGTTGAAGTTGTTTTCAACTTTCTAGGAGAGCTGCGGCGCAACAGCTTATTAATAAACTGTAGCTTCCCCAAACAAAGCCTAAGCTACAAGAGAATTTTCAGCATACAACTTGATTGATCAAATAAATTTTATATTATACAAGATTTATTCTAAATAAATTTAAGTAAATGTAATCCTAAATTTTTTTTTATTATTTTAATAAACATAATATTATTTTGATGTTTTCATTTTATACCCCTGCTATGGTAAAAATTGTAATAAATATATTCAATATTTTCTTATAGAAATAGATGAAAGTTTGTTTCAGATCAAAACTTATGTCCTTCTAAATTGGTTATACATTTTTAAACCCTTTTCAAAATTTTATTTCTAGATATCTATCACTGAGTTTTTTCCCCCCTTTTTAATGGTCAGATAACTGCCACTTATTTTGTTTGGTTATAATTTCCATTTTATTATTATTTTTTTAATTCCTTTGATGAGTAATAATTTTTTAATTTTTAATTAATAAAACTTTACCCATCCATAAAAATATGTACATAACTTTTAAAATTAATATTATAGATATTTTAGACATGGAATGAAACATAAGTGCTATAAATATAAAAATTAAGTTTAGATGTAAATTTTATAAATACAAGAATATTATGTGGTGTATATGTAAATGCCCCTTTTTTATTAGCCAGCTGGGTGAGGAATTTTATAAAACCCACAACCACATTCAAAATATTCATTTTCTCCACTATTATTCGAGAAATTATTGCATACGGAGATGCATACGTTGTCCGATCTCTACCGTTGATCAGAGCTTTTATAATTTTTTTTTTTTAAAAAAAGATGGGCCCACTAAAATACTACTTTGATCTGATCAACGGTGGTGATTGGACGGCGCATGTATCTCTGCATACGTGCAATAATTTTTCCTATTATTCTACAGTTATTTTTACAAAAAAACTACAATCATTCCAATTATACCCTTAAGCATAGAAAGGGAATTATAATTGCAAAATGATTACAATTTGTTCATAGTTTCACACAATCAAATTAACATCATCATTTATGAAGTCAAAATGGACCTATCAACACAACATAAAATAGATCTACAACGTATATATCATCAAATATAATTTACATTTGGATTAAAAAATATATGATATACAATTGCCAGATTATATCAGAGATCAAAGCATCATTTCTTTATAATTTACATCATTCATATAGCTATAAAACTTGGCCACACTCACATGATATCAGGGAACAACTGAATATCTACCTGAAGAAAAAAAACAAAGTGTTGCATACAATAGTGAACACAAAGGCTAATAGAATATCAATACTATGATTTAAATATCATTTATACAATGAGTAAAATAATATTATATGCTAATGTAACATTCCAATGCTTTATCATCATAGAATATATAAGCAAGATGAAGAGTTGATTAATTATGAGTGTCATGAGTCATTGTATCTGCAAGAGTTGTTAATGATGTGCCATACCTATATAGATCAGTCTCGTTACAATCGTATGCCATAAATAGGCACATAAATTATTAAAATTTCTAAGAAGATTTGATTTATCTGATTAGAGTAGGATGGAAAGTATAGTGACTCACATCCAATCCATAGATAGGGGTATGATTCATGATTTTTCATAGGGGCTAACATGTCTTATGGAGAGAGAATGAATAGTTAGTTGATTATTACATGAAATTATATGACAGTCTATGAATGTATACTGTCACACATTAACTATATTGTAGCACGCAATTCTTACATATTTACATATCTCACCCCTACACTTTCATATTTATATACCTAACACTTTTGTGCTTCAAACCTATGTATGAAAATGTGTGTTTCACTTTTAAGAAGCAGTAATAGCACTATTGTTGAAGTCATATTAAGGATTTGAATGATGTATGTGTAAAATATGAAAGTTTAAATGTGAGATATGTAAATATATAAGACTTACATGCTATGTATGTAAATGCCCCAATAAATTATAAACTACTGAGCTCAGTTACTACATAACTATAGGATAATGGGAATCAAGATCCAATGGCTTCATGCCAAGGAAATCAAAATCTAGGGCCTTTTTTGGGTGTAGAAAGCAGATTAGTAATTATTAAATTTAAAATCTAATTGTATATTTTTCAAGTAGGAAGTTTACTTGTATAGTTGTACATATTTTCTTGTTTTGGTGGGCTAAATTAGTTTCTTCATAAATTATTTCAAATATTGTATTGTATCAACTAACCTGAGGAATAAGTAAACTTCTTCCTGTATTATAGCCCAAGGATATTCATCCTGGACAATCTACCTATGGCCATAACCTTTATCGTTGTATACAACTGCAATCTTTGACTGCAGTCTTTATTTTTGATAATCCTTCTTTGACTTCAGAGTCATTCCAGCAGCCTTAATTGAAGCAATCTAGGGGTGTAAAAAGGTAGAACTGCCTAACTCAATCTTGGCTTCTCTGACAAACTGCAAGCCTGAGCCTTCGCTCGAGTCAAGCTCGAATGGTGAGCTTGAACTTGGCTTGCATGACGATAGCCGGCTCGAGCTCGAGGCAAAAGTTCATGAGAGCTCATTAAAAAATTCATCAATGGTTGGAGGAGCGTCAAAATTTTCACAATAAAGTGACCATCAATTGACTGGTCGAGCCAGCTCGCAAGCTGACGAGTCGAGCCTGAACAAGCTTGAGCTCTTGGCTCAATAAGCTTGAATTGTGAGCTCATTAACGAGTTGAGCTCGGCCGGCTCAGCTTGCTTACACCCCTAATGCAACCTCCAACATTTTTTTTCTTCTTAGCCAATATTCCTACTTTGTCATGTAACATTTCGTTGAAATTTTTCTCTTGTTTTGATCAGTCGGAACCTTCATTGTTCTGATTACTCTGCCACAATCAACTCCAGCAGTTAAACTTTATTGTTATAACAGCCAGATCTAATCCAAAATCATCCCAGCCTACCCCTACCCTACTTATATAAAACAACATTTCTGAACCTGTAGCAGCAAGTTCTCTTTGGAAATCAACATCCTTGTAAGCCAAATTATATCATCATCATCCTCTCTTTTGTGAGAATTATACCCACGCAAATGGAATCCAAAGAGATCTACTGAGATCTCAATCTCCATTTAACCAGACAAAACAAGTCCTTCACAATATAAGACAGCAGGAGGATTCGATTGTGAAGAGGTCGAAAAACTATGAAGTTTGGTAGAACCCGGTAAGAAGAAACCATGTGGTGCATGCTCATTTCACAATCTCATCAATTCAGTTATCATTTCCTCCTGAATTAATTTTTTAAGTAAAGAATTAATACAACCCTTGGACCTAATATTTTAATTGTTGTATTCCATGCCTCAGTAATAAGAAAATTATAGTAGCAAATAGTTTTCTTGCTATGGTTGCAGGATGAAGAAAAATCGATATCATACATTATCTAACCCTTTAAACTGTCTTTCATGCTCCAAATTTGACAGCAAATTACATTTTAATTTAAAAGCTTATAAAATATCTAAAATGCTAGATTTTTCTCCTTATCACGTTTTTAAAAATCAGGATTGGGGAAGAAAGATGGACTTGCTAAGAAAGGAACAAGCTCTACCATATTGAAGAGTACTTTGAATAGTGTCAGGAGTGATCTGTTCTTATCCTCTCTTAGCTCTTCAAATGAAGGTGTTACGTTCCTTTACCACTGTGATATACAACTCTTCTCCTTATATAATAAGGAACGACTATGACAAATTTAATTACAATCATTATAACTTACCAAAGATAAACCAACTCTAGAAAGAAATAAGTCTGACATAACAAAACTGAAATTGGGAACTCAAAATTTCACACAAACCCTAAAGCCGGGGCATAGATGTTGTAAAGGCTAAGCTTGGTATTCAAATCAGTTCAGCTGCCAACTCTAGAAAGAAATAAGTCTGACATAACAAAAAGGAGAACACTGAAATTGGGAACTCAAAATTTCACACTCCCCCTAAAGTCGGGGCATAGATGTTGTAAAGGCTAAGCTTGGTATTCAAATCAGTTCAGCTGCCTAGAGGTAGAGATTTAGTTGAAACATCAGCCTTGAAGATGATTTGAAATGTAGATTAAGTAAAAATGCCTCTATTAACATTTTCAGCGATAAAATGTCCATCAATCTCAATGTGCTTGGTCATGTCATGATGCACATGATTCTTTGCAATACTAATGGTGGGTTGGCAATCACAAAACAGCCTTATGGGGTTGATTGTAAAGTATCTCAACTCAATTAATAAGCTTTAGATCCACATTCCTTTACAATTATCACAAAACAGTCTTATGGGGTTGATTGTAGAGTATCAAAACACCCTTATGGGGTTGATTGTAGAGTATCTCCAATTAATAAGCTTTAGATCCACATTCCTTTACAATTCTCAAAGCAAGTGTTTGACACTCGAATTTTGCATTACTTCTAGAGACCACTGCTTTCTTCTTGCTTCTCCAAGTGACAATATTTTCCGAGACAAAGGAACAATACATAGAAGTGGACTTTCTATTTGTGAGTTCTCCTACCCAACTAGCATCAGTGTATACCTCCACCTCTTTGTTGTCTGATTTGTTAAACAATAACCCTCTGTCAGGGGTCTTCTCAAGAAATCTCAACATTCTATAGATCATCTCCAAATGTTTTTATTTGGACTATTCATATGTTGACTTACAATGTCGACAGAGTAAGCAATATCAAGTCCAGCGTGTAACAGGTGAATAAGCTTACCCATCAATCTCTGGTGCCAACCCTTTTCCACTGGTGTCTTTTCTCCCCCTAAATGAAACTTTTTGTTGAATTCCATAGGAGTCTCAACAGGTTTGCATCCCAACATTACTGTCTCTTTCAATATGTCTAGGATTTAATTTCTTTAGGATATCACAATACCCATCTTGGACATGACCACTTCCATGCCTAGAAAGGATCTCATCACTCCTAGATCCTTAATTTCAAATTCAGTGGCAAGGACATTGATCTTCTCAATCTCCTTTTTATGATCACTGGTCATGATCATATTATCTACATAGACAATGAGTACAACTTTCTTACATCCTTATGTATGCTTTATGAATAATGTATGATCTGCTTGGTATTATTAGATGTACCCATTAAATTTCATAGTCTTGAAAAACTTGTCAAACCAAGCACTTAGAGATTGTTGGAGGCCATAGAGTGACTCGAGTTTACAAACTAGATGTTTATTGTAGTCAATTTCTAGTTCTAGTGAGATTTCCATATGCACTTCTTTTTCAATGTATACATTCAGAAACACATTCTTAATATCAAGTTGATGCAGCTCACATTCTTTGTTCACTTCCAAGGAAAGCAAAACTCTTACAATGTTTAACATGGCCACTTGAGCAAATGTTTCTTGATAGTTTAATCCATAAGACTGAGTGAAACTTTTGGCCGCCAACCTAGCCTTGAAACTCCTAATGCTCCGATCTATTTTGTACTTAACATTGAAGACGCATTTGCACCCAACGGGTTTTTTATCTGGAGGAAGCTTTATAAATATCCATGTGTCATTTAGATCAAGTGTTTGGATCTCCTCCTCAATTACCTTTTTAAATTATGGACTTTGAAGTTCTTCGTGAATCGGCTTGGATATATGCACACTATCAAGATTAGATAAAAAAGCTTCATAAGTTGATGATAACTTCCCATAGGCAACATAATCCCGGATAAGATGTGTGAATTCAGGTTTGGTATTAAACAGTCTTGTGGTTACATATTGTTTTTTATCCCGCTCAATGGATTTCTTTCTTCTAATATAGATACAAAGTTCCTTGTTACCAATCTAAGGTTGGATGTTCTCAACTAGTGGAACTTGGATAAATGATGGTTTAAAAGAAGGATTATATGTTGTGATGATTCTAAATCAATGTGAATATCCAGAGTAGTGTCCCAAGCCTGATATTTGCTCAGATGCTCCCTCCAAATATCAGATTTGGAATAGTAGGGTGAGTTTTCAAAGAAGATACATCCATGGAGTTATAATATTTTTTTGTAATGGAAGTAGCACTTGCACTTTTTTTGTTAGAAGCATACCCAATGAAAATACATTTGATGGATTTTTAGTCCAGTTTTGTGTAGTTTGGTTGGTGAATGTAAACAAAAGATAATCAAATATATTTTGAGGAAGATTCAATGAGAAGGCTCTGCCATGGGGGTATTTTTCCATCACAATGTCGGGAGGGGCTTTGAATCCAATAACACTGTATGACATTCTATTAATGAG